GGGTGGTTCTACTCAGAGCTGGAGTTCAGTGCCCGGCACAGAGACATGGACTTAGTCTCAGCCCCTGCTGTCTTTTCACTGCCCCACCTGCCAGCTCAGCTGCTCAGCTGCTCCTGTGCATGTTTTCAGGGCTGAACAGATACACTGCCATTTGTTTAGCTGCTTCCTTTAGTGCTAAGCATTTAGAACTACCTTTCCAGTAGTGTAAATAACACCGTTTTTATTATTCAATCTTTATCTCATGTAGATTGTAGTCTAGTGTGTGTTTGTGTGTGTTTGCTAATGAAGTTCATGGGCAAAGGGTCATACATGTAGGACATGACCCTTTTCAAATGGTCATCATGTCCTGCCTTGGTTTGAGCAAGGGTATCAGACAGACTTCATCTTACCTCTATGCTAGCCAGTGCTTTCATTGGTTGATTTTAGGGATGCTATTGACTCTGTCCCAGTTAACATTGGAGCTTTACAAACAGGGTCAGTCTTGTTCAGTTTTGAGGTTGCATTTGGTTTTCTCAAAAGGGTCTCTGTGTGGGGCTGAGATGTCAGTCTGTGGTAGAGTTTTTGCCTAGCATGCTTGAGGTCTTAGGTTTAATTCTTAGAACCATCACCAACACGTCCTCCTCCACCACCTCCTCTACCTCCTCCACCTTTACCCCCAGAAGCTAGGAATGGTGGGTGATGTCTGTAACTTCTGCAGTTGGGAGTTGAGGCAGAGAAAATGCCATGAGTTTGAAGCTAACAAAGTGAGTTCCAATCCAGCACAGATAACAGAATGAGTCTTTGCCTGAAGAAAAACCAAACTCTCTCCCAAAGCCCTCAAGGGCTGGGGATGTAGCCTAGAAATGGAGCATTTGCCCCTATTATTCCGGAGTATCTGCAGCGTGCTGCCTTTGTTGTTGTTGTCGTTTGCTGATTGACACATGCCAGGGCCATTTGGAAAGAGGAAACCTCAGCTGAGAAATAGCCTCCCTCAACTTGGCCTGGAGGCAGGTCTACGGGACATTTTATTGATTAATAACCAGTGTGGGTGGACCAAGCCCACTGTGTGTGCCACCTCTGGACAGGTGTATCTGGGTTCTCTAAGAAAAACAGACTGAGAAAACCAGTAAGCGGCATTCTTCCTTTGCCTCTGCTTCCTTGCGTGATGAAGTAAACTCCTCCCCAGATTGCTTTTGGTCATGGCAGTCAGTACAGAAATGGAAAGGTAAGGAAGGACACTGCAAAGAAGCCTTTATTTTATTTATTTAATTTTTATTTTTATATGTTTCGAGACAGGTTTTTCTGTGTAGTCCTGGCTGTCCTGGAACTCTCTATATAGACCAGGCTGGCCTTGAACTCGAATCTGCATGCCTCTGCCTCCCGAGTGCTGGATTTGAAGGGCTGTACCACCATGCCCAGGTTTATTTCTTTGAGACAGAGTCTCATGTAGCCCATGCTGGTTTCAGCTGGATATGTAGTTGAAGCTGACCTTGAGTTTCTGATCCTCCATGGCACGAACTGTGACGTGACACAAACCACCTTTCCTGGTTTTGTGTGGCGGACTGAGCTCAGCTTTGTTTATGTTAAATAGTACTTCATTTAGCGATTCATTCTGTGAACAGCTGTTTGCCTGCAAACCTGAGTGATGTTACTGAATGATGCTTTTTTTTTAAAAAAAACTAAGAGCCTGTTATTAAGAGCCTCACTCATTAATACATCCCAACTCATTAACTTGGAATGTAAGTTGGATATGATACAATGCCAGTGAGGTCGTCAGCCTTTCACAGTGAACTTCTGGGAAATACAGATTCAGCTAAGAAAAATACATGGACAAAAGCAGGTGCTTCTTTGATCTTGTAGGAATTAGCACCGTACAAGCAAGGGCAGGAAACAGTGGAAACCTTCCCTGACCTGGCCATGCAGGGAGCCTCTCTGTGTGCCCACACCTTAAAGGATAAACTCTTGTGTGTGTCCACACCCCTAAAGGGTAGACTCCTGTATGTGCCCACACCCCTAAAGGGTAGACTGTGTGTGCAGGTACCCCTTCTCTGACTCCCTGGTCCTAGGGACTTAAGTTACAAGCTATGAGAGCTCCCCTGAGATGTGTCTCTCACTGAATTATACAGTCCCAACCCTGTGTTCTCCACCCCAAGGGGAAGGACCATTTGGATCACATTGTCTGCAGTGTGGGGGCAGTGCTCAGTCAGCAGGAGAGACATGGAACTCCAATACCAACTACTAAGAGTGCCTTAGAAAGGAACACAGGGTAAAAGCACCCAGGAATGTTGTAATGCGTCCCCAGCACCCTGGCCGCCTGCTAGCTTATGCCCCAAAATAATTACACGGACACTGTATTCTTTTAAACACTGCTTGGCCCATTAACTCTTGGCTCATTATAGGCTAATTCTCATGTCCCGATCAACCCATCTCTAATACTCTGTGTAGCATCAATCTTACCGGGAAAGATTCAGCATGTCTGACCTGGCAGCTTGCTTCATGGCGTCTGCCTGGGAAAGGGGAGCATGGCCTCTGAGCTCACTTCCTTTCCTCCCAGCATTCTGTTCTGCCTAATCCACCCACCTAAGGAATGGCCTATCAAAATGGGCCAAGGCAGTTTGTTTATTACCAACGACTTTCCTCCATCACATTCCTGGAGGGATGTGTAGACAGTTGAATACTAGATCATGAGTAGACACATGCCTAAGTTAAATAGAGAGGTTCACAGGGACCTAGAGGATGTTGACATGGACTCGTCTCTGACTTGGCATTGTGATAAGTCATTATAGGAGTAGCACTAACCTGGGTGTTTCTGCTGTTAGCATAGTTGTGACCTCTGTGTGTTTGGGAGGTTGGGCTGCTGATGCAACTGGACCCTCCAAAACACAGGCTTGCTGCTTGCCTGCTTTCATTCCCCTAAGGGGCCTGGTTTTATCTGGGGTTGGCCAGGCAGTTACTGACCTATGCTTTGGAGCCATGCAAACTGCTAGGGACTGTTAAATGGGTGGTTGAGTTTGCAGAGATTCCTTTTAAGCTAGGGGCCTCCATTAATTACAAAGAATCCTCAACCTTGTCTAGAGTTGTTTCTCCTAAGACAGCGCCCTTGTCTTGCTCTAACTTTGGTTTCTGTAGATTTCAGATAATTCTGTGTCTGTCCCAGCTTTCAGGAAGCCCTCAAACACTTGCATGCCTGTTTGTCATAGAGGAGTGGCAGACATATGGCTAATGTTTAGGAGTGACAACTGCCCCACAACGAGGGTTGTCTCATTGTGGGTAGATCCTGGGACTCGTGCTTTGTAAGCACTGGGGAGCTTACATGCTAGCTACTGGTGTTTCGGGAAAGACCATCCGAGAGGCCAGGAATTGAGCTGGAGATAGATAATAGAACCTACCCCATCAGGGAGTTAGATCTGGAGATAATAGAACCTACCCCATCAGGGCTCCTAGCATTGTTGGGGAGTTACTGAGGCAATAAATGTGAAAATGTTTTATCACCCATATAGCGACAGCCCCCTGGAGCGGGACTGTGTCAGATATGGTGATGGGTGGAGCAGATATCCTTGAAGTTAGTCAAAGTTGAGCCAGGTGATGGGGGTGTTTGGGGGGGTGTCTTTGCACTGGGCCCCTCTCCCTAATTTGCTGCCTTTTTTTGTCATATTGAGGCTACTGCCATCCGATCACAGAATGTTGGCCGGGCTGTGCCTATTTCCAGTCCCCATGCCACCTTTGTCTAATTTCTTTCAATTTCTGAGGCACTGAAATGTTTCGTGTGGTCTCTGGCCTTACTTTTCTCAGTTAGAACAGTGCAGAGGCTTTGGGGTAGGGCCCTTTCTGTGTCTTCTACTCTGTTGTGATTCTTTTCTTAAATCACTATCTTTCTGTCTGTTTATCTATCTATCTATCTATCTATCTATCTATCTATCTATCTATCTATCTATCTACCTACCTACCTATCTATCTATCTATCTATCTATCTATCTATCTATCTATCTAGTTTTGAGGCAGGTCTCAGTAAGTAACCTTGTCTGGTCTCTCTCTCTCTCTCTCTCTCTCTCTCTCTCTCTCTCTCTCTCTCTCTCTCT